ATCATGGTTATTAAGCTTTGCATAAATCCAACAGCAGATAAGGCTCTCCACAGATTTTAAACTATACGTTAGTAAATAATTGTAAAGAATCAAATTACACTTTTATGTTGTCCTTCTGCCTTTGGAAGTCATAGCATAGCCTTGGCCATTTTTCAGATTTTACCGACCACGACCATGTCAAAGAAGAGGTGAATTTAACTTTCTTTGCTACAATTGTTCATAAATTAGAGAAATTTTATTAAAGCACCCTTTTTTTCCCGCGAACGGCAGAGAGGGACAGGTTAACTAACCTTTCCCGCATCTGATGTTTGCTAGCCTGCAAGCAGAGGCCCTTCGATCTCGAAGGGCCTCTGCTCGCAGGGTAGCTGTTTGCCAGCCGCTGTTTCAACGCAAGCTGCAAATTGTTCCCGTTCGGATGAAACGCGAAAACGTGAGTATTTCTGAAGCCTATTTGTACCGATTTCTACATTTTGATCGCTCGTTTTGATAGCTATATATGCATCTTTTATCATTTTTCCTCTACAGTCAGGTAAACTGTTTGTAAGCTATTTGTAAATAGTTTCCAATTCGAGCGAAGAAAAGATAGCAACCTTCTATATAAGCTTATCTTGTCCCGCCATAGTGAATGGCGATCGAGAACACTTGCTGTGTATCATACGTATTTCACTTAGCTTAAAAGAAAAGTTAAGAAATAAGGAAACATTTAGTTAATTCTAACAGCCATGGTTAGTACCTAGTTAATTTTCAAATATTTGAGACTATCGCAGTACATATTGCCACTACTAGTTTCCAGTTCTGCCGTGTCAACGGGAAGCTTAAACTAACAAACACCGCGGCGGATGGAACGGCAAACGACACACTCACGGCTAGCGGACCTTCGGCTTACGCAGTTAGTGCGGAACTTAATCTAACTCTTGTCTGATGTCTGCACAGCTAAGCACAAAATTTTTGCGTCGATTGGCGACGGGACTAGCAGGCCCTAGTTTTTTTGTTTGTTCGCTTGTTTTATAAAAAATTCGAGGCACTTTAATACTTCGAGACGAAAAGTATACTGCTGCTTCGAAAACAAGCCAAATAAACAAGAGGCCATTGGTGCCATACATGTGTATACCTGCTTGGTCGTGTCCATCCGCTTGTCCGTGAGCGATCGAAAAACCAGCAGAAAGCATAAGCACACGAAGTGAAAGTCGCCAGAACATTTGCGTCTGTACATGTAAAACCTTCAAGCCTGTTAGTCCGTTGTTCATGATACGCATGCAAGCAACATTAAAAGTGCCTGCTTTCAAGTTTCGGCGAACTCGAAAAAGTCTGCAATGGGCATTGTTTGAAAACCAAAGGAAAATCAAAACAATAATGAAAAAGGGGCGTCAAATAAACAAACCTAATAAATAACTTCAAGTTCTTATCAATTATTTATAATCATTATTTATTGAAAATGTTTATTTTGTTATTTTGTTGGGTTTTTTTTTAGAAAAATTTTGTTTTCTTGCTTCCGAACGGAGTAAGATGTATTTAAGCTCACTTTTTGCAAGCGACGCACCGATCTTAAAATATACTTTTTTTCGGCTTTTCAGATATCAACACTGTTTGATTCTTTTATAAATAAAAATAATAATACAAACACCTGGGTAAAAAATTAGTTTTACGAAAAAGTCTTTACCTAAATAAATCATAAGACACCCCAAGGAAATTAGAAACAGCCTGTATTTACAATAATACAGTTAGGAAGACTAGATTAGTAAAATGAAATTACATGTACATATATAAGATAGAAACTTCCAATAATACACTTAGGAAGACCACATTATGAAATTAAATTACATTTAAGATAGAGAGACTGCAAAGGTCTTTAATTAATGTTTGCGCTACATGACTGTTTTTTAATGAAAATTTTTAATACATTCTCACGAAAGGTTTTAATATAAAATTTATTTACTTAAATAAAAATCTGAGAAACTGCTTTACTTCGTATGTCACAAATGTTACTCTCCTATCGATAAGCTAGAGATGACAAATATCATTAATCATTAAAGTTTAAAAGATGTGGTTACTAAATTGGAAATCGCTATGTTAAGGTCTCTTGTGTATATCAATGTAGTTTTTCATATCCTAAAAACTATATATGTTCTCAATGACAATGTTATAACCAGTTTCACTTTTGACATCGCCATTGTTGTATTTTGATGGCCTTTAACTGATCTTATTATTCATTCAAAAGATTTCCCCGATTCTGATTGGCTAAAAGCACACGCATAATTCACCATAACCAGTTACTGATGACCAAATTTGGAAGAATTTTGCGTTTAACGATGAAATGACGTCAAAAATGCAGCCCACTACAGGTTAAGGCACCGTTACCGAGAGGACCTGGGGACGAGGTTAAGTTGTTTTGGTTGTGAAAACAAAAAATGGCAGACACTTCACTCGTTTCAAGAGTAAGAACTACAGCTGGAACTGGGTGAAATAATAGCAAAAACATAGCAAGAACACAACTCGGAGGGCGACATATGCTATGTGGAGAATATTTGCGGAGCCGGACAAACCTAAACGTACACTATAGAAGATGAACTTAATATCGATGCAGGTAAACGTGTTTTAGCTATGTTTTTGAACTAGGAATTATTTTGAATGAATAATAAAGTAATTAATGAATTCGGCTTTCGTAGGGTATGAAGAATCAAGCAGACCTCGGAGGGCGTTATCCACCTCGGATAACACCCTCCTCGATCTGCCTTATTCTTCATACCCTACTAAGCCTCTTTCGTTAATTGCTAAATTAACTCTTCCTATCCTTTTAACGATAATGCAAAAGTTAATTGTTGTTTTGACAACATGACAACACTTCTTTAGCTTTCATCAACACCATTTTTTAATATTTTTGTTTTCATTTTTCATATGTATTATTTTTTCTCCCATTGTCAAGTTTTTAAAAGTTAAACCAATCCCTAACGTCGAATTTAGCAATAGAAAACGTTTTCCGTGTTTGCATAGCCTGATATAAACACGAGAGGGGTTAGGAGAATTCGGGACAGTTATGCAAACCGGAGACGAAGTCGAGGGTTTGCATAAATGTCGAGAATGCTCCCAACCACTCGAGTGTTTATATCAGGAAATACAAACACAGGAAAAAAGTTTTCTATTGCTTTTATAAAATGACTTTCTCTTTTGTTTAGAGAACTGATTGAAAGAGAAATTCTTACCAGTCGCGAAGTCTTGTACACGAAGTTGTACGCGTAATCAGTCCTTGTTTTGCAAAAAAGATGCTTTCCAAACTACGGGTTTTTCTCGCTAAAAATGTCAGCTCAAGCAAAAAAAAATGACACAGCATGATTCTAAAGATTTTTCAAGTTTCAGTCGACGAGGAAATGGGTAAATAAAGTAAACTTGTCAAGTTTTTTAACTCATAACCTTTATCAAATTCGTGCTTCCGTGATTAGCGCGCGAAAAGCAAAACATCCTGACGTCACCACCATGTTTACATACTCTCATGCAAACACGCCTCTCGGCCAATCAGCGCACGCACTATCTTAGTTATTTTATAAACGGTAACAGTAAAAAGGTGTCCTCCTGATGTATCAACCTGTTACTGATTCTGACCTATAATGAGGCATTGATAGAGTTGCCTAAAGAACGGTCAATATTTTAACTATCAGATGAGGCAGGCTAAAACTCCCGTTGTAAATAACCTCTTGATGACAACTGCCAGCATAATTCCTTAGAATTGAAGTAAATAGTGTGTATGTGCAAGTAAGATCTGAAATGTTATTTTAATCTTGACTAGAAAATCTATATATATATATATATATATATATGCTTAAAAGCGAATTTAGAAAAAGACACGAACTCTGGTTAGTAGTTTTCAAATGACGTTATCGTCAAAAGGGATTAGTCAAAAACTGTTAATAATATATAAAGTAAAACCTGTATGTAACATCTCATCATTATTAATTCTATTTGATAAAGTAGGTTTAAAAAAAGGCAGCTTAAAAGCTGATGTGGACCTGCTACAGTTTTTACGAGGAATGTTGCAGAGCCTAGGCTTATTATTCTCATCCGAAAAGACTAGAATATCGAAACATTTACAATTGTCAGGACAAAGGTACACATGTAGCACACACTCTCCAGTTATTTTAAGACCTTGACTGGGTTGGCCCAGCCGGTTTTTGAACCCACAATAGGCTGATTGAGCGTTAGTTGACGACGGCGCGCGCAAATCAAACAACTGGCTTGACCAATGGCTGAGCGGCAAATTGGGCACCGGAAGTTGAGTTTAGTCCTTTCCGCGCGCTTTCCCGTCGTCAAATTATGTTCCCGGTCTGTTGCGAAATGAGCCTAATATGCCGCTGAGCAGACGGCGGTGATTATCCATTTGAGTCAATAGCGGTTTAAAAGGACACCTTCGGGATTAACCGAACTAATGTCCCCTTAACAGAGGTGTCTGCTTAGGAAAAGGTTGTTTTATAAGTAAATGAAATGATTGTGCCAGTATATGGAGTCCAAATTTCAACAAGTCCACTGAATTACACTGGTAAGGTATTACTAAAAAACTGCTTATACTTGGGGAAAACTTTGGCAAAATACTCGAAATACTCCGTCTTGAACATGTATCGATTAATATATAATAATTGGTGTGGGCTAATAAATCCTAAAGGATAAGATACTGTGCATATTAGCAACACCAGAATTAATCCTTTGCTTTGTCGTTACTCAGGAGTGAAAAGGCTTATAAAGGGGCTGCAAGAAATGAGAAAATTGTATCGTACTAAAGGGATATGGGTAGAAATGACAGGATTTCGACATGTTTTATGGAAACTGGATTCTCAGTTTTTAAAGTTGAAGTACCCGGTCCTCTGAACTCGGATGCCGGCAGAGGTACCGAATTTTATACTGCAAAATGTAGGGGAATAAGCTACTTTCTAACTAAATTTGTACTGGACAGCCCTCAGTTTCATTGTGTGATCTAAAAGTTAAAAGTTTTTGAACCCCGACAAAAGGGAGCCCTAGTTCTCCTGACCAGTGCCACAGACTGATTCAGAAGCCAATGATACAACTGTATCTCTTCCGTTGTTAAAAGAGTATTTCTTGACTTGTGAGTAGAACGCCTTGCGAGTATTTTGCTCGGGTTTGCAAAGAACCACGTAAATTTTCGGGCCAAACATACAGATCAGCAACCCATAAGAGCTCAAAACGGTTGTAGCGCACTTTAGATTCGTTGCGTGCGACCCATCAAGACCAATGTCAACTGGGAAATAACCCACGCTAGACAGCAACAAAATGTACATGGAGAACACAATATAACGTCCCTCGTTGAAGTTTTCCGGGAGGCTTCTTGCTTTAAAGGCATAAAATGTGCAAACTATTGCGAGAAATGACACGTAAACGATCATGGCGATCTGACATATCTGTCCAATTTGTAAGTGATACAGAGAACACGACAAATGAATTATTCCTTCTACTGGTTTTACGATTCGTTTTTGACTTGGAGGATCCAAGATAATCCACAGCAAAACTAGTATAAGCTGAACAGAAATCAGCGCCAGAACAAGTAGTGTCTGGCTTTTAGCCATCAAAATGAATTTCTTGAACCTCTCTGCGATCACGTTCACTCTGAATGCGCTGAGTATCTTCATTGTCTTAATTATCAGAATGGCGATAAATGTAGCTAACACAGACGAACTGAAACACACTCCTATAGTACACGTGAAGTTGGTCCGCTTAGCAAGTGTAAAAACCGACATGGAAAAAGACAAGGCGATTGTGATCATCAGAATGCAACTCAATTCGCGATTGGCTGCTTTCACTATAGGTGTATTTCGATGCTTGTAAAGAATTGTACTGCAAATAGTCACGACTGCAAGTCCAACAAATGCAAACAAGAGGACTAGGATATTAGCGAGCCTTGTCCAAACCACCTCAGCTTCAGGGAGATGAATGCAATTTGACCCTTTTTCATTGGGCTTCTGTCCTTCAGGACATTCCTTACAGATGACACTGTTTGTTCTGGTACTGATCATTCCAGTTGGACATTTTAAACATTCCCAGCAGCAAGGAGTTGTTAGGGACTGAAATGTTCCTGGCAGACAATCGTCACGGCAGAACGACTTCGGTATAGATTTTCCACTGGTCTTTGTATTCCAGTCAATGTCTGTGTCATTAAATAGCAGCTTCGGGTTCCTTCTCTTTTCCCATGAGCCAATGACTGTCTTGAATGGTTGACGTTTTTCTGCTGATGCATGAAAGTGAACAATGTCGTATGAGGACGATACTGGATCTCCTGAGGAATCAAAGCTAACCCTTCCGGTCAATCCTAGAAAGTCAACTTTGCGGAGGTAGCTCTCCACTTCCTGTGGATTTATTAATGGTGAAGTATCTGGACAAACGACTTCTTGGGCTGTGTGAGGTTTTGAACAGTTTAACGCAAGATGCAAAGCATGTCCAACAGCAAACACGGCATCTACTACATAGGGGACATAAGTGTCGTAAATCAAGTGAAACAGAACTTCCTGGCAATGGGCTCCCAGACTTGAGGAACAGTTAGTAGTAATTTGACTCTGCCAAAGCTCTTCCCACCAAGGAACTCTATTTCGTTTTGAAAAACCTGTTGTTTTTTCCATCACAAATTCCTCAAAATACTTGTGATCTAAATATCGAGGCTGAATTCCAAGAGATCCATGAAGAATCTTTTGATCAGTGTTTTTCAGTTCCGGGAAAATATCGTCTTCTGATGCCAAAGCATCGCTCAGGATCCAAGTACGGTCATCCAGCTGCCATTTCTCTGCTTCGTTAAGAAAGCGCCGCCCGTAACTTCCGAAAAGCCACAACACGACTACTTTCGCGTTTGGGAAGTTTTTTATCCTGTTTACAGCTCTACGTAGTTTTGAGCTATACTCTTGACGTGGAATATATTCTGCGAAAGCAATACAAAAGGTCTTCCTTCGCTCGGCTTCCTTTTCTAACTCCCATGCTCCACCACGACCATAAGAATCATCCATTGCCACAACGGCAACATAGCTCCAGTTGAAATACTGTATAACATCAGCCATTGCATTTGCCTGTTGGCTATCTGGGGATGCAGTGCGGAAGAAATGACGGTAAAGGGGTGAGCTTAACTCATTGCTCGTTGCCGAGTGGCTAATGGCAGGAATTCCAGCTACTTCCAAAAGACTGCCCACAACAACTGCACTTCCTGAATCTGTGGGACCGATCACTGCTGCTATTGGATTACGTTCGTTTTCCGTCTCGTTTGTTTTATCAGCGCACGAGCAATGATCACTCTTGGGTTTGAAAGCAATTTCATTTCTTCTAACAAAATTGTACGTGTGTTTCATCGCCATGGCAGGGCTTTCACAGTGATCCCGAATGTCATAACCAAGAGTTATGTTAGGAAGCAGTTTTGGGTTATCGTTTATCTTGTTGATGGCGAATATCATTGCTTCCACATGACCAAGACCTATTGGGAAAAGTTCGCCACATTTACCATCTTCTGTTGTGTAATGTATGAGGAAAAGGCCTCCGAGTGTAATATCACCAGACTGGTAGGAACGTCTATCCTCTTTTGTATTTGAAAATGCAGCTACACTAAGGCCAACCGAAATGAAGAGCACTAGATATGTACACATTGCGAAAGGGTCCTTTGCACCTGGAAGATAAGAAACATAGATCAGGTCTCCTAACATGATCAATACGATTCTCTGGTTACAGACGCTTGTAGAAGATGGCCTTCAGAAATGTAATACATTAAGTGCAATAATTACATACAATGGCACCTGTCTTGAATAATCACAATGGAAAGCAAAAACTAAAAAAAAGGATTTTGTGACTTGGTGTCTTCATGAAAATCCGTGTCGCAAGGGGATTTGAGTTTGACAAAATCCTTACTGGAATGCGCTCGGTTAGGATCGAACCTCGATTTAGGTTTTGAGGATGGATATTGAAATTTGTTCTTTAAAATTTGCGATATTATGTACTCAATGAAAAGCTGTACTGCAAACTTTCATACGCAGAGGAGCGAAGGATATTTTTTTTTCACCCGTGAGAAAAATATTTCGTCTAATGAGAATCGTGAACAATGTTTTTCCACGTGAGACAAAACATGGTCGCCCAACTGAGGCTCTTTGCCCGACTTGATCACGTGATCATTTTCGGTAAATACGAAAACAGCTCAATTTTGTTAGCACAAGCTGAAAGAGCATATTAAAATTAGGTAACCTGGAAATTTTTAGCCGTACGTCTCAAAAGTAGCGATTGCAACGGCCGCCGAAAGTTGGAAGCATTTGTATAGGAAAAATAACTTTGCCATCAAGTCACCCTTGCATGGATTTCCATACAAATCCTTGTAATTTCGAAATTTTCAAACCTGTCATGAAACATTCCCTAAGCATTACAGAGCTCAAATCTCCTTTTTATTCATAACAGGCAGTTTGAGCCCTTAAATGCGTAAGGGAAAGATTTAACAACAGTATAAAAATTGGCTCGTAAAGGTAATGTTGCGCGAGACGATTCGCAACAACAATTTTTAGCGGAACACAGCGTTGCAACATTGTTGCGACATAGTTTCGAATGGTTACAACATTGTTTCAACATATTGCAACGCTGTGTTGTGCCAGAAATCGTCGTTGCGAATCGTCGCGTGGGATCTGCGGTACCTTCACTTTCCGTGTTTCTTTTCGGTCATACCACGATTAAACTATTGCAAATAATTTGTTAAGATTGTATGAAAGAAGATTTTTTTTGTCCGTAATTAAATTTCATTGTCACAGATCAAAGTTGTATGTAACCCAGGATGTTTTTTTCCACTCACTTTTAACTATAGTTAAAGAAAAAGAGATTCTTAGCGATTCAAGTATTAACTTTCGTATCCTATAGTCATAACTAATTTTTACTATAATTAGTTTTTGAACGTTTACTTCGTTTTCCTTATCACTCCATGATGCTAAGCGGCAAATTTTACCATTTTATTATTTCGGAATAATAATTTAAAATTAAAGACAATGGAAGAATGATGAAGTTCTTCTTTTGTATAAAATAAACTCAAAATTTCATGGAACGTGCTTTTTTTATCAACAGAAACCTCACTAGTTGAATTTTTGATACCTCAACAATTTTCGCGAAATACTGTACGCGCGCACTTTCCTTGAAGAATTCTATACGTCGGCCAGGGGCAAAAAACAGAACATTTGAGAGAATAGGCGGCACAAAAATTGAACAACAAAGGTCTCATAAACGCTGCCGGGTCCACGTGGCCTAAGACTGTATAAATTATAGAGCCAGGCATAATTCATGCCTAGTTCTATTATTCAAGCAGTTTAAACAGACAAGTTTTATGACATATAGAACTTGTTTAGAATCGACAGGTAAAGAGGACAATGAAGTTTCAAACATTTTAAGGGGAAAAGTTTTGTGTATTCTTGTTTACCCCTAGCATGTTTCGGCGCTATCGTGGCTTTTCTCAACTAGTGTCAATAACTTCCAAAAAGTTTCGAAAACGGGTCTCACAAAACTCTTGTTTAAACAAAAGAAAGCAATGACCGCGTGCAATTTTAAGTGGTATTGTCTGTTAGCCATATATTTCCCGGTTTACGTAAAATCACTCTAGTGAGGACCTGGACGAACTTATTTGTTTGGCGATTTGAGCCAGGAAACGTTCTTAGTGATCTTAAATTACTTGCTGAGATATTTCGATAAAAAAAATATGATTAAAAACTGTTTCTTGTTAATCGCGAAGGAATACAATAAGGCTAAGTATTTTTTTTTGTTGTATTCAGGTATTTGTTGGATCCAAATGAATTCTACGATGATTCACATCAGAGAGTTACGTTCTACTATCAATTACTTTTCATTAGTTTACGCGCGTGTTGTTGTATTCTAATTGCGCTAAGGCGGCACATGTTGGCGCGCAAAAAGAGCTTTAGACTGTTTGCAGGCGACTGTAAACGACATACTGCCTTTCTAAGGGTGTCTGTTGACACTATACTGGACAGGGTCTTGTGCAAAAAGCTATCTAACAGTATGAACATCTTCCGATATGTGACGCTCCGCTTTAGACTTCGGCCCCCCTTACAGAAATCGCGCCGAAATCACTGTTATTATGTGTGAAAAGAACCTTATCGATCCGGTCTGGTTTTTGTGCCGGCGCAAAAGCTACCCGGCAAAGTGTCACATGTAAACATAGCCTTCGTTAAGCATATCACTTTACTCACCGTAAGGAGGGCAGCAATGTCAAGACGTCGGTAAAGTTCTGTCGAACAACCCGAACAATGTAGCATATAAAGCAACCGTTTTTACATTTTTATCCGCTGTGAGTGTATCCCGGATGAAACAATGAAAGCGAGGCATATTAGTTGAAGCCGAGGCATTTTTCTTCGGGATTGAAATCCTGAAATCTCAAATCGATCTGATGTCAGGATTAATCTTTTGCCCATGCTCAGAAAGAGCTTCAACTGGCCGCTCTAGCCTCAAATAGGTTTGTGTACCACGTGAAGTGTAAGGAAGAATTCTTACCTTATGGCTTTGAAACAGCATTAATTATAGAACCAGGCATAAATATTCGCTACTTTACAGAGCCATATATTTTCTCGCTTAAGACATGTCATTTTCAAACTTGGCAAATTTACTAATTTTAAGGTGCTCTATCTAGTGGTGTCGACGGATTTTCCATAACTTGTCTATGTCAAAAGTTGAAAAAAACCGTGGAAGGGTCGATCAATTTATCAAACTATTGCTTCTTGACATAAGATGGAGTGCTGCGAGTTGAATTCATCGCTTTCAGTCCTTTCAGCATTTCTGTGTTTTAATGATCATTATTTTTGCTATCATGATCATTTTGAATTGATCGAGTATAATTTCTCAATTTTGGTCCAAATTTTTATGTTTGGTGGGCCTTAGTGCTTTGAGGTGTGCCAGGTCTATAGAATGAGAATGTTAAAGTTAAACTCTTATTTTGGCGTGAAGTTTTAACCCTCAAATCTATAGTTTCACATGTTAAATTGCAAAATGTCTGTAGCAACGTTCCGTAAATCTCAGGACCATTTGGGCGACCAGTGTTAAAGATGTTAGAAAGGAAGATGTCAGAGCATTAAAAGATGCTGTACAAAAGATAAAAACACCAAAGAGCAGAATTTTTAACAAAAAGAGAATTTCTAAAGAGCATCTGGTCAAAATTTCAGGAAATTGTGAACTTGGAAGGGCGTTTTTTAAACTTTACAGTGCTTTGAGAGTCTAGGAGTAAAAAAAAAGTCAAATAAAATATAAACTCACGATTATGAGCGAATTTTGTCGTCCATGGGTCAAATGGCATAAACGTAAAATGAGCCTAAAGGCTTGGGAAATTAAAAAAAATTGACGAAACGCGCCTTAAATATCTTGATTCCTAATTTCACTCACCATTTGATTTATACACATACAAATGTGGCGCGAAGCGAAGAGAAAAAAGATAAAACATAACAGGTTATTCTTTTTTAGCTAATTCACGCCTTGTTTAACGCAGAATCTATCAATCAGTATATATGAGCTTTTCAAAAGAGAATACCTTCTGAGGCTAGAATGCAAATGCCTTGACTACAATATACCGTGTTCCTGGCATAAAAACGCATCTAAAAACACGTGGTTGTGAGTGGCACTGCTTTCACGTAAAGATGGGATTACATTAATATTAAACATTTCTTGACACATTGCTTAAATCTACACTATTTTACTCTTTCTAATTTTTTCGCTTTTTCTACATTATGGATTTGGGAAATCGTTAATGACACTGAATTTTCATGATTTTTATCTAATTTTTAGTGTAATATAGCGCTTTTGTTTCGATTCGAATATAATATTGCTGTAAACTATGTACATATTTTCACAAAGTTAAATGAGCATCTCGTTCTATTTAAATAAAAAGCAATATTATTATTATCCCGGCTTGGGTTGAGAAAATTTACTGATTTTATAAAATTGTCCACCCAACACTTGCCCTAAATAAATTGTCCGGTTACAGGTGGAAACGAGGCTCGAGTTGACCTTGTTTCGATACAACCTTCCTGCTTTATCATGCTAATCATGTCTTTCATACGCAAACGAGTATTCTTTAAGCACGATTTCCATAAGAAAAAGAAGGAGGTTTGTATCAAAACAGGGCTAACCTCAGTCTCATATTCACTCAAGGGTTAGGATACTAAGCTCACAACTGTAAAATGGTCTATTTTACTATTTGTATTCTGTGCTCACTGCAGCGGAATGCAGGAAATGCCACCTCTGCAAGTATTTTACGGGGCTATGTCAGCCGCTATTTATCATTTCTTTTTAAAAAGCTAAAACTTGTCTTTGCATCAATTGAGTTTCAAAAATAATGCTGCAGTTTTGTTCTTTATGACTATATTTAGGCATTGCAACTGATTCCTGTCGGCTGTTGCAACAGATATCAAGGATGGAAACGAACTGAAACTTCCCAACTTTTTCAAGTTTTAATGCTCTCCTTGAAAAATCACCAAAAACAATTATGGTTTTGAAAATAGTATGGTGGAGACGTGCGTGGTCGAACGGTCAAACTCTTGATCTGGAGGTCAGGGGTTCAAGCCTCGCCCGACGCGTTGTTTCCTTAGACAAGGAACTTTTCTCCATCCACTTTGTCTCTCTTCACCCAGGTGAATAAATGGGTACCGGCGACATACCGTTTGGTAGCCCTACAATGGACTTTCGTTCCGACCATGGGGAAATAGCAATACTCCTAGGCATGCTGGATGCTAAGGTAATAAGGTATAAGCTCCAGCCGTCTGGGCCCTTGGTTCGTGTGCGCCTTTACCTTTATTGTTCCCTAATGAAATTTGTTTTAAATCTTCTTCAAAACTCAGTAGGAGCATTTTGTGTATGAGTAAATTAAAAGGCACTAAGTAAAATAATGAATTAAGCACAGAATTGATCTCAAACCGTAATATCCTTGTTACATAGCCCATTTAACGAAGATTGTCACACTCTCTGCCCGTTCAGCTTATCAGTTAAACTTAATGTCTTAATTCAAGTTCTCCACACTAGTATGACAGCTCTTTCTAACTGAAACTAACGGTGCAACGGCTACTCTGCCTCTTATGCCGCTGCTGAAAGAAAATTCTGCGACTTGTGAGCAGAAAGCTTCGTGTGTATTTTGCTCGGGTTTGCACAGAACCAAGTAAATTTTGGGGCCAAACATACAGACCAGCAACCCATAAGAACTCAAAAGGGTCGAAGCACATGTTAGACTCGTTTCCAGTGACCCGGTCAGACCAATGTCAACTGGGTAATACCCGATGCTGGAGAGTAATAGAATATACATAGATAACACAATATAACGACCTTCGCTAAAGTTCTCCGGAAGGTTCCTTGCTTTAAAGGCATAAAATGTGCAAACAACTGCGAGAAAGGACACGTAAATAATCATAAGGATCTGCAATATCTGTCCAATTTGTGATTGATACAAAGAACACGACAGATGAATTTTTCCGTCTACTGGTTTTATGATTCGTCGTTGACTTGGAGGATCCAAGATAATCCACAGCAAGACAAGTATAAGCTGAACAGAAATCATTGCCAGAACAAGTAGTGTCTGGCTTTTAGCCATCAAAATGAATTTCTTAAACTTTTCTGCTACCACGTTCACTCTGAACGCGCTGAGTATCTTCATGGTCTTAATTATTAGAATGGCGATAAATGTAGCCAGGACAGAAGATCGCCAACACGCTCCAAATCGACATGTAAAGTTGGTCCGCTTAGCAAGTTCGAAAATGGACATGGAAAAAGACAACGCAATGGTGATCATCAGAATGCAACTCAGTTCGCGATTTGCTGCTTTCACGACAGGTGTATTTCGATGCTTGTAAAATACGATGCTGCACATTGCCACTGATGCTATTCCAATGGATGAAAACAGCAGGACAAGGATATTAGCAAGGCTTGTCCAAACCACCTCAGCCTCTGACAGATCTATGCAACTAGACCCTCTTTCGTTAGGCTTTTGCCCTTTGGGACATTCCTGACATTTTGCATTGTTTATTGTGCTACTTATCACTCCAACAGAACATTTTGTACAATTCCAGCAGCAAGGAGTTGTTGGTGACCTAAACGTTCCTGGGAGACAATCATCCTGGCAGAACGACCTCGGTATGGAATTTCCACTGGTCTGAGCATTCCATGTAATTTGTGTGTCGTTTAATAGCAGCTTTGGGTTTCTGCTCCTTTCCCACGAACCAATGACAATCTTGACTGGTTGACGTTGTTCTTCTGATGTATAAAAGTGGACAATGTCGTAGAAGGAAGATACTGGATCTCCTGAGGAATCAAAGCTCACCCTTCCGGTCAATCCAAAAAAATCAACTATGCGGAGGTATCTCTCGACTTCCTGTAGGTCTACTGATAGTGGACTATCTCGACAAACGACTTCATGGGTCACATGATCGGAACAATTTAACATGAGATGCAAAGCATATCCAACAGCAAATACGGCATCTACTACATAGGGGATATAAGTGTCGTAAATCAAGCGAAACAGCATATCCTGGCAATTATCTCCCAGACGCGACGAACAATTAACTTTACTTCGACTCTGCCAAAGCTCTTCCCACCAGGGAACTCTGTTTCTCGAAGAAAAACCATTTGTTTCTGCGATCACAAACTCCTTAAAATACTGGTTATCTAAATGCCGAGGTTGAATTCCAAGAGATCCATGAATAATTTTTTGTTCAGTGTACTTAAGCCCCACAAATACGTCGTCTTCTGTTGCCAAAGCATCGCTCAAAATCCAAGTCCGGTCCTTCAGTTTCTGCTGCACTGCCTCGTTCAGGAAACGACGTCCGTAACTGCCAAAAAGCCACAACACGACTACTTTCGCGTTTGTATAGCTTTTTATCTTATTCACAGCTCTACGTAGTTTTGAGCTATACTCTTTACGTGGAATGTATTCTGCGAAAGCAATACAAAAGGTCTTCCTTCGTTCGGCTTCCTTTTCTAACTCCCATGCTCCACCACGACCATAAGAATCATCCATTGCCACAACGATGACAAAGCTCCAGTTGAAATGCTGTATAACATCAGCCATTGCATTTGCCTGTTGGCTATCTGGAGATGCAGTGCGGAAGAAATGACGGTAAAGGGGTGAGCTTAACTCATTGCTCGTTGCCGAGTGGCTAATTACAGGAATTCCAGCTACTTCCAAAAGACTGCCCACAACAACTGCACTTCCTGAATCTGTGGGACCGATCACTGCTGCCATTGGATTACAATCGTTTTCCGTCCGGTTTGTGTTATTAGAACACGAACAATAGTCAACCATGGATTTAAAAGCAATTTCATTTCGACGAACAAAACTGTACGTGTGTTTCATCGCCTTGGTAATGCTCTCGCAGTAATCCCTAATGTCATATCCCAATGTTATGTTAGGAAGCAATTTGGGGTTATTGTTTATTTTGTCAATGGCGAATAGCATTGCTTCCACATGACCAAGACCTATTGGGAATAACTCACCACATTTCCCATCTTCTGTTGTGTAATGTAAGAGAAAAAGGCCTCCGAGTGTAATATCACCAGATTGATAGGATCTGTTACTTCCTTTTGCATTTGAAAGAATTGCTGCGCGGCGACCAGCCGCAATCAAGAGCAAAATATAAGTAAACATTACCATGGCAACCGTGGCACCTGTAATAAGTAAAATACAAAGATGGAAAAAAAAATAGATGAGATTCCATAATTGCAATCGAGCGTTACTAGTTTTTTGCCGGTAATATTGCTTTCATCCTTTCTATCGACTTTAAAGTTGGCCTTCAGTACTTTGCTGGATTAAGCGCCATAGTGGCACCCAAAATCGGACGTTTCGAAAGCTGGCCATCATCAGAGCAAATCATTTCCTTAACTGTCGACACTATGCTTGAACCATTAAAAGGGATATAAATCAGTATTTTTATTAATGGAGGGTTCAGTGAATTGTTTGTGAGAGTCCGTAATACAATCGAACCTACAGTAGACCCAAATATGTCCGCACATTATTTGATAGAAGATAATTATGTGTAGTTCCATGTTTTTGCTAAAAATCTTCGTACAGTATATTCTAAGTAGCATAGTACACACAGCGAACTTAGATATCAGATAATGCGTAAAGTCAGGGTAGCTCACAAGAGGTCAAAACAGTGGAAAATCATTAAACCGTCAGCCCCCAAAAGTGGTCTCGGTCACTTACAGCGGTTATCGTTGACCGTGAGAGGTTCCAACTGTAAGGCTTTGACTGAGAAAATTTTGCGGTGTTTTGGATAGGTGGTCGCTTATTATGAGAGGTGGTCGCATATGTAGGTTCGACTGTAATAAAACTCCTATTTCAAGTACTTTGTCGATTATTTTTTCCTTCTCCTTTCTGTTCTAAAAGAAAATGTTTTTTTAGATGAAGGTTAAGTTTTTTTTTTTCATTCGCCGATCTTGTAATAATATAAAAAGCCGTATGTTATATTAATAAAGTACGCTAGCTTAAAACGATTGAGAAAAGAAGGTCTTATCAGTATCGATATCAGGAGATATACACGGAATTGTCCGGAAACGCACGCGTATCGTTATCATCATCTTTTCTGTTGTCTTTTGGTGATATGACTGTTTCAGCCTGTTTCAGTTTATCGCAACTTTAAATCCTCTTCCATATGTTAATAACCTTACAAAAATAACCTTTCAAGGTCTTTATTTAACAAAATTAATATACATGTCCACCTCATTATTTTAACGATACATAACTTGGTGAATTTGAAGTCCTCCCTATGGGCAAATTTTCATAGATTCTTCTATTTTTTTTTAACTTTTGATAAAGTTAAACGACTATCCATCGACATTGCTATAAAGAGGGCTTAAAAGGCAACTCACGGACCCAATTTAAAGGTGATTCGTCCAAAGAGAGGTAGCATATCGCTGCACAAAGTTGAGAACTTTTACAGGCTTTTTGTATGGTGGGGGGGGGGGGTACAAGTTCTTGCCCCTCAAGCATACAAACGTTTGTAGCTAAATAATTCTGCCACTACGAGGAGCCTTGTCTTCGCTTTCAATCTTGGCAACGTAACTGATTTTAACGCTTTCTTTCCTGCCGTGGTAACGGATTTTTGCTAACTTGTCCCAGTCAAAAATTGTGGTTAAAACCGTAAAAGGGTCGATTGAGTATGTCCTTGTTGTAATAAATGTTTCCCCTGTTGGTGGCCTTTTTATATACAAATCGACTTTTTGTGTGTATCGGGATAAGTACACTTTGTGCTCTGACTCATTCAGCATGCATGCGTGAGCACATGGCAAAAATATATAGCTCACTTCAATTGGTACAGGCTACTGCCACTGGTAAACTTATAAGTCAAGGTGTTGATGACAAAACATTGTAATTATAAATCGAGTCTTTTTTCTTCTTCTTCTTCTTTTTTTCTTTTGTCAGGCTACTTCTGAGCTTTTTTTCTAATTTAATTCTGCGGGACGCATTATGGTCTGAAATTATATTCTAAATAAACTATTCCAATAAAATGTTGAGCACAAAGAAAACGCATTTTTCTTTTCACCAAATATTGGCATTTGCCACTGTAGTCAACCTTGTTCAGTTAGAATGTGTATTTGCTTGATCAGGGGCCGAATTTTTTCACGCCCGCAAGTATGAAATAATTAGGGTGACGTAAAACAGAAAAGGTCCGAAGGACCGCTTAGGTTGATCTTGTGACACTTATTGTACCGCGGAATACTTCGATACTTTTTTAGGTTTTACCCGTGTTCAGTGACGTTCTGGTCTTCAAAGCTCTTTCAAAACAGCTGCTTCACAGAATGGTTGATTCGGAAACGATTTGCCGCACATAAATTTCTTTGGGGGAATAATACTCCACAAACAAGAAATTTTCCTTACGCTCCGAATGAATCAACGGCTAGCTTATCTGAAGGATGAATTAATTTGTGTAGCGAGTATGTGAGAAAAAATTCCTACCTTCTGTTCAATCTCCTTTGGGTACGCCACTAGGCCAGAGACTTTGAACTAAGTGAGTTTTCACTGTTAGTAAAAAGTTGTTTTTTAATAATTCGCACTTGTTTGCTTTGCGCCGGAGGTGAACTGACGGTGCCACAAGAAATGAGCATCCGACGGTGTCATCTTGAAAGGTAGATGAACACTTAAAAACCTCATAAACTTTAGTTTAAATATTAATATCTAATATAATAGTCAAAGTAAACAGCCACTGAAAATGGCAATAATGATATCACATAGCGGATCTGCTACGTTTTCATTTTATAATGCCAAACAATTGCAGGCCAGTGTATTTCATCTTCCTTTTTTTTCGTAATATACGTACAGAGGCCGCTATACTTGAGTGACATGAGGTTACATTCAGTGTACAGTCATCCCGAGTGGTACTCAACAAAGCCTTCAGTATATAGGGAGGCTCCACCCCGAAGTCCAACTGCTTACTTATTTTTGGCAGAAAAGGTACCCCTTTCATGTGCCTTTTACATGTATTGGCAAAAGGTACCCCATCCGACGTACCTAGTTTTAAACTTTAACCCCCCTTTAACTGCTATAAATTCACTGCCTTTTAAATTTGAAGTTGAATAAATCACAAAACCAGAGCCGCTTTCTCGATTATTTCAGATGCATCTATAAGCCCTTTTGAGCCTTTTTACGGACCCAAATGACAGATTTCCCTACCCTTTCATATACTTCAACTAATGAAATCGCTACTCTATCATATATATACCTGAAGCCTGAAAGAGGTACCACTTTCGGCGAGTAACTCAGTTGTTTGTACTATTGCAAACCTTTCGGGACAGCCATTTTGTCTTTTTTCGACATTATACACTTCCAAGAGCCATAATAGGACAGAGAGGGACACTCAGGGCGTTGGCCGGGATATCTTAATCCCAAAAAAGTTATTTTTAGAACTATGCGGACCATGCGAAAACAGTTTCCGGTAAACTGGTTGACTTCCGGAAGACTCGCTTTCACGATTTCAGGGCGCCAAAGCGAGGCGGCGTCAACAAAGAAAAAAATGGCGGCACAAGTGGAGGGACGATGTGAAGTTGATAAATTGGCCTTCTTCAACAAAGAACCTACCATAGAAACTGCTTAAAACTTCCACACAAAAGGGTCCTTTACAAGCAACGGTAGAAATCGGTAAAAGCGACCGCGTGACCATCGTTTTTGTTTGAACAGCTGGAAAGAGGACAAGTAGCACTGCGGCCCGGATAAGCGTTGAAGACAAAATGCGCGGGTCCTACAAAGACGACCGTACAAGCAACCATGTGGACATATTTTCTATTGAAAGAGGAAGGAAAAGAACGTATAAAGGTTTCCAGTATTTTTGTCACGGACATGACTGGGAATCTTGTGGAACACACCTTTTCCTGCTTGACTGATATTTTGTTCCGCACTTCACATTGGACAATTAGCAATTCTTTATTGAACACGAGGTTAATAGAAGCGGAGGTTAATGTTCCTAAATCAGTAAAGAAACCAAAAAGCTCAATTTGATTGACGGATCAAATCATGCGTGGAAATCGGTAAACAATAGGTTTCATCTTTACAGAATTTTCAAACATTGCAAATCAAATCGGAAACAATAGCCAATATGGTTTATATGGAATCGCCAGAAGTGTAAATTGTACTTCCAAACCTAAGAAGAAAAGTAGAGCTTTGTTTTCATCTGTCGACGCGCCAAGTTAGAGGAAAAAGGTTTTTTGTGCAGCTAATTTGTGCTGTTCTTTGTAAGTGCAGACAACGGTGGCCCGGTTGCTTGAGGTAAGGAGCCGTTTCTCTGTAGTTTTCTCTGCCCTGTTTAATTGAAATCTCGAGCTTTCGTTAACATTTGCTTTCAGTTTTTTTTCTCATAAGTCAGTTGAATTTGATTTCGGGGGAAAATTTGTCTTTAACGGAAATGTTGAGTTCACCCACCCCTTCTACTCGATTAAACTGTAATTGTCAACATTCCATCGAGCAAAAAATATTGAAACTTTGAAGTATTTTCATACCTTCAAAAGAGTGGACCCTAGGATTTTGCCGAATTCTGAAAGGTTCTTACTCTAAAAAAATTAGCAAAACAACGAGCTCACGAATTATTTACTCGCGAGGTTAAAACACTATCACTGAGTGTGTATCCTGAAACCGATTTTTGCTTGTAAAAACTTTATTTGTGTAAGGTTATTTGTGTTTTTCATGTTGCAAACGGTGTTGAAATAAATACGACAGTATGATAATCTCATCTGGAGTTTGTTTTACCAAGCCTCATATTTTCCTCATACACCTGTAATAATTAACCTTTACAGATCCTGCACCACAATGTATAGGTAAGATTTCCATACAACCCCAAACATTTGTTATGTGTGTTAAATAATATAAGCTTGCTGCATGCAAAATAAATATAGGGGTTTGGATGCACAGGACCTTTTGATGTTGTGTTTGCCACTTATTGATCCAGCAAGTTTTGTCTACTTTAGTAAGCACTCGTGGTGTTAGGTGTCGGCTGCTGAATGTAGTCTTTTCTTTTTTTCTCTATAGAAAGCACTCAAAAGTGATAAGAATATAAACTACTGCAATAAGTTCAAGCTGTGTATAGCTTCTTGTTTATAATTATGTCTTATTTCTTGTACCTCCCCTCCTCAGTGAAAGCCTAATTAACTCATCTTCTACATTGTATGGTATGCAGACCCCATATTAAGCAGACACCCTGTATTCAGCAGTCGAATAGTTCAAAATGTGGCAAAACGTTTCTTTCCACAATTTAAGAAAAACAAACCAGTATTTAGTGGATATCTCTAATAAGCAGAAAGCAGCAAAGTTTGTGTGGATGTCCCCCTAATTCTAAAAATTATACAGGGTTTTTTTTTATTTATAACAACCTTGTATGCATAAAAATAGGTGGTAAAAAGAAGGATGAGTGAGGGTGCAAAGAGAGAAGAACTGAGTCCTTATGCCAGGCTGGCTCCCTCCCTGAAGATATAATATAAAATACGATATGTAAAGGTTTCATAAAACTGGTACATCATTTTATGTTGTGTGTCTTTTAGACTGTGAGCAGTCTCTCTTCAGCTTGAAAATCTGTAAGCGAGAGTATTTGAGCAGCGAAGTTGTGTGAGTTGCGAGGGCGCAAATTCGAATACGCTGCTCAAATACTCTTGCTTACACATTTTCAAGCAAAAGAGAGACTGCTTGCAGTCTATATGTCTTTCAGTGTCTGCAAACTTTTCTGTTGTTTTCTGACAGGTTGAATTGAAGGAACAATAATACTAGCAATCATGAATTCTCTTTTAAGATCTCTGCATGACCTTGCCACGGAATTGGTACTGGGGAAAATAATGTACAAGTTTGACAAACAGTGCAAGTTCTATATTTTGGGGCAAGGGAGCACTTATTTATTTATTTATTATTTTTTATACTTCTGTTAAACTATATGGCTGCCAATGCATTTGGGATTTGAAATTTGAGGAATACTGGGAAGAGTGTGACCATTACTGAGTGACACACACATTATTGTGAAAGGTTTGAACCCAGGAGTCATTTCAAAAGTACGTTGAGTTTGATCGTCCGGGTGAACGTAGTCACTGTCAACAACAACAGTCCTATTCAGGACTACGTTCACCCGGATGATCAAACTCAACCTACACATGTTATTGTACACACTACATTACTATTAATTTGTCTCCTTCTAGATGCTTTCCCCTACATTGCCTCTTTCAAGCCATGGCATGAATAGATGCAATTGATTCAGTCACACACTATGTTTTATTGCTCCAGAATGTTTCTCTCAATGCAACCCTGGCATGCAAGTGCATAAATTGATTGTCTCACCAATGAAAGAAACTCAGTTGACTTAATTAAGAGGTCAAGGTGTGACCAAAGGTTTTATTTTAATGTGATACTGCCATTTTTAACTTAAACCCTTCCTCAATGAAGGTCATATTCTCAAATACTGATCAGCTTAACTTTCCTGTGGTGTCTTAATGGTTGCATGAGGCCTGATCAATCATAATGTGCAGGCCAGCAACATGTGAATTTATTAGATTATTTAAAGGGAAAGATTGGGTTGTCATGGTGGATGCCTTAAAAGCAAAAGATCACACAAACTTGCTCTGCCTGCAGACTCGGCTTTAAGAGCATCAGAAATGCAACATTAATATCAATAAAGTCAATGTTTCAACATGTTGAAATGCAAAAAGGTGCTCACTTTACTATTGTCTGTATTATACTTCTGATTGGTTTATAGGCAGCAAAATTCAAGAAAAATTTGCAAAGCAGCATGTATATGAATCCTTATAACAAAATCTTATGAGTCTGGATAAAACAGATATCCCATGCATGTCTGGAACATAAAATTAATGTAAAGTTTTCTTCAGTTGGCTATAATGTTTGCAGCTCTAATGATTGGTTGAAACCTTTTAACACAAAGAAAATACCCCTTAAAATGGGTATGGATAGATTTATTTTTGAAAACATTGTTTTTTCTGAAAATATGGTTAGAAACTTTTCAAACATACTGAGCTATTCATCTGCTTAACATAGGATGTAACTTTTAATATGGGGTCCGCTTAAATATACAGGTTTTGCCATACACTATTATAAGTTTGTATTTTTTTCTGTGTGGGAGGGGGTAAAAAAAAAATAAGACACAACTCAGTAAGAAGCTATAAACAGCTTGAACTTATTGCAGTAGTTTTTATTCTTAATACTTTTGAGTGCTTTCTATAATGAAAAAAAGAAAAGACTACATTCAGCAGCTGACACCTAAAAACATGAGTGCTTACTAAAATAGAGAAAACTTGCTGGATCACTAAGTGGCAAACACAACATCAAAAGGTCCTGTGCATCCACGAATGCCTGAAGTTTGAATTATGCTGTGGTACGATTTGCATTCAAACCCCTACATTTATTATACATACAGCAAGCTTACATTATTTAACACACATAATGAATGCTTGGGGTTGTATGGAAATCTTACCTACACATTGTGGTGCAGGATCTGTAAAAGTTCATTATTACAGGTGTATGAGGAAAATATTAGGCTTGGTAAAACCACATAAAGCAAATAAACGCCACATGAGATTATCATACTGTAGTATTTATTTCAACATGAAAAAACACAAATAACCTTACACAGAAGCATTGCGACAGAGTTATACGCTTCGGGGTTATATGCTTCTGCCTTACACAAATAAAGCTTTTACAAGCAAAAATCGTTTTCAGAATTCAGTGATCTTTGTGGTGTTTTAGCCTCTCGAGTAAAAAATGAGATAGCTCGGTGTTTTGCCAATCTTTTTTAGAGTAAGAACCTTTCAGAATTCGCTAGGGTCCATTTTTTTGAAGGTAAGGAAGACTTCAAAGTATTCAAGAACGTTTTCCGATTAACTTTACTGAGCAGTATTTTTCGCTCGATGGAATGTTGACAATTACAAATTGAAAAGAAGAGGATGTTTCTGTGTAAACTCAACATTTCCTTCAAAGGCGAATTTTCCCCAGAAATCAAATTCAACTTGTGACAGAAAAAATTAAAAGCAAATCTTTACGAAATTTCGAGATTTCAATGTCAAGAAAACTACAGAGAAACGGCGCCTTACCTCGAGCAACCGGGCCACCATTGTCTGCACTTATTAAAGAACAACACAAATTTGCTGCACAAGAACCCTTTTTCCCTAACTTGGCGAGTCGACAGATGAAAACAAAGCTCTTCTTTTCTTCACAGGCTGGGAAGCAGAATTTAAAGTTCTGGCTATTCCATATAACCCATTATTAGGCCATTGTTTGCGAAAGGATTTTTAACTGCGATTTGATTTGCAATGTTTGAAAATTCTGTAAAGATCAAACTTTTGCACATACCGATTTTCACACATGAACTGATCCGTCAAAACCGTCAATCACATTGAACTTAAATGGTCTCCTTACTGATTTTTAATCTTGCTGAATAGTGGCTTTAGGAATATTAACCTCGCCGCGAATATTCCGCTTCTATTCACCTCGTGTTCAAGAATAATTGTTAATTGTCCCATGTGAAGTACGGTACAAAATATCAGTCAAAGCAGGGAAAGGTGTTTTCCACATGATTCCTGGTCATGTCCTTGAGAAAAATACTGGAAGCCTTTATACGTTTTTTCCTTCCTCTTTCAACAGAAAATACGTCCACACGGTCGCTTGTACGGTCGTCTTTGTAGGACCCGCGCATTTTGTGTAAAACGCAATGCTACTTGTCCTCTTTCCAGCTGTTCCAACAAAAACGATGGTCCACGCGGTCGCTTTAACTGTATTTCTACCGTTTCTTGTAAAGGATCCGTTTGTGTAGAAGTTTTAACTATTTTCTATGGTAGGTTCTTCGTTGAAGAAGGACAATTTATCAAGTACACACCCTCCACATTGTCCCTCCACTTTAGCAGCCATTTTTTTCATTTATTGACCCCGCCTCGCTTTGGCGCGCTGAATCTTCCGGAAGTCAACCAGTTTACCGGAAACTGTTTCCGCATGGTCCGCATAGTTCTAAAAATAACTTTTTTGGGATTAAGATATCCCAAAGGCGTGACTGGGAGTGTCCCTCTCTGTCCTATTATGGCTCTTGACACTTCAGAACTTAATTGCGTGTTGCCTACAGCTGCCCAATAATTAAAAATGTTTCCAGCACGAAATTTTGATACCGATGCACGATGTGTCTGTACTGTTTGCTTGCTGGTTTTCTCAATTTTAAAATTCAGCTCCTTCCTGTCCCTTTGTTTTCGCTCGCCTGGGCTCGTCTGGGTGAGAGGCCTGGAACAGAGTGTTTCTGAGCCGCCGCACAGCCTATCTTTATCAGCGGCCACTCGCACAATTCAAGATGGCGTCCGTGGAAGCGTTCGAATGTGATCCTGATTTCTGTCCTCGCTGCGGCTCTATCCTCCCTCTCCCCGGCTTACTGGAAGTGGTTTCCTGTACCCTTTGCAACTTTCAGAAAGATACATCCGGTAAGAGTATAAAAAAATTTCGTGATTCAAATTAAAGCGATGAGTTGAATCAGTCTTTCCAACATGCATGTGCAGCGAGTTGAGTCAGTCGACAGAGTTCAAAACACCCGGAAAACTAGGCTGGTTCCCACTAAACCAATGAGTTGCTAATGTCAGGTTACTCTCATCAACAGGTTTTCAAATGAAGGTTTTCTTTTAAAAAATGACACCTTACTTATCTTTTTTATGCATCCGCAGCTATCAATGTTATGTGGTAATGTCTGATAATAAGTTGAAAACAAAGGGAAATAAAATTTGACCAAGTATAAAACTGAACTACAACACGAACATAGCATATTTAAACGAAAAGGTTACATGTGTGATAATTATTAGAATGATTATTAAAGGGAGAATACTTTGATCTTATATCAAATTGCCCCAACTAATTCGTTAAGGATATGTATCAAAACAAGTCTGGTGAATTTGTGGTTGGATATTGTGTCATGAAGGCCGATGTTCATCCTTGGTGCTTTGCAGTTGTTGTCATTGTTTTGAGACTTCCCTATTGTCCTTTCCAACAATCTCACTGGCTAACAGTTGTAATCTCGAAGGGATGTAAATCCTACATACAAGCTGACTGAAAGCCTGAATATTTCATTTTGTTTATCTTATGACCCTTTGAGGTTTCCTAGAGATGTTCAAGTTTTGACTGTAGAAGTGTTCTTGTCTAAGGAAGCAAATTAATGAAGTCAATCTTTCTAAGTAATTTCTTCCTGCCGAATGAGGTGATCAACACGGCAAAGAATTGTTTACAATTATTGACCACGTTGTATCCGGAAAATTGGCAAATGAATGACCTTTGAGATTTCTTGCTGTTATTATACAACTCAGCTCTGCAGTGAGACAAGCAGCTTCAAGTTTAATTACATATATTCCAGAAGCCTCATTTCAGAGTTGCTCATAAAACCTTGGAAATCTATTTGACCACAAATACAGCTTTTGTTTGAACATGGATGTCCTCATGAAGGGTTTTACAAGTAAAGCATTAATATGAACTCAGCTCTGATTCAGATGCTGAGCTTTTCATGTGCCGAACCCAATGCATAAATTGTTATGATGTATTTTACATGAAATGAGGCTGGAATTTAACATTAGCATCTGAATAAATAACTGCTCTAAATAACTTGTAAAAAGTTTTGCCTCTGAACTGGGCCTGAACTGATTGTTAAACTTTTATAAACTTTATCTTTAACTGGTACTTACATGTAGCTTATGTTGTCAATTACACATGTATATACATGTATTTTTTTCTTATGAATGCAGACTTTGAGGGTATAGAGGTTCACTCACGAAAGGTTTTTAATACTGTCAAAGAAAAGACGACAACAACAAAACAAGCAGATGAGTCAGTAGGACCAATGGTAAATAGTAAAATTGCAGAATTCTTCTCTGTGCACAGGCAAAGATCACTAAAACCAAAACACAGAACCAAGGCTCACCTGGACTTTTCTGTTTTGTTCTGTTTTGTCTTTTGTTATCTGTTCATTTGCTGTTTGTTTGGCATGTTTATGAATACCATTTTAGGAATGTTTTCTCATAAGATGTCACACATTATGAAACGATTGTAACTCAAGATTTAGATTCATCATTTACTTTTAAAATCTTCTAAAATGATTGTATGCTATTCGTTTAGGTTGACAGGAAGTGTCCAAACTGTGGTCATGAAGGTATGACATACACCACAAGACAAACCAGATCAGCTGATGAGGGACAGACAGTTTTCTATGGCTGTCCACAATGCAAGTAAGAAAACCAGTAATCAATCTAAAAGGCCTCTATAATATTGTCTATCTGCAAGTCAAAATAAATGAACAAGAGAAACAAATGATTTTAATACAAAATCTATGATTACCAAGTGTAGTTTTCTGAGGGTTCCAATACGTTTTTTCACGGAACCTGGAATTTGCCCTATTTAAGGGCCAGGAGTCAAGATTTTTGTTATTATTACTATTATTATATAAGATTTACTAGTGTAATTGCACATGATTTTCTCTCTCAACATCCGAGTCCAAACCATGGACTTTAGGACGCAAAGAGGGTTTCTACTTGACAGAGAGAAGGTGGGCTGTAGAAAGGAGAGTTATTTTCTGGAGTTCATGAATGTTGATGTTGCCAGGGAATTTGTTGGTGTATTTTCATCATTATTATCATCGCATCATCATCATCATCATCATCATCATCATCATCATTATAATTATTATTAGTTCAGTTACTGTATGACTGAGTTACAAAGGATTAAAACTTACACAACATGACCTTGCATTTTTTTTTTTCCATACTATGCTTAAGGCATTAAAATCCATCAACTATTGAAATTGATGCATAATTAATCTACAGTAGTGGACAGAACTACTACAGGTTGAATTTATCTTACTGCCACAGTAGGGCTCTAATATTTGTATGTTTTTTTCCTTTTCTGACAGGTTCCAAGAAACAGAATATTCGTAGAAATAGTAATTATTTTTGTATAGTGTACCTTGTATTTATTTTTCTTTTTGGCAGCAAAATAAAAACAATTTTAAAGACACTGTTAATTGATAAATGAAGATTTTAAAAACATCAGATTTAAAAATAAGTGTCACCATTGCGCCATAGTCAAAGCTTGATTCTCCAGTTTTTCTCTTTTGAGAGAAACTCCAAAGGGCAAGGAATCGGCTCCTCCTTCTTCTTTTTCGGGTGTTGTTTCTGACTTTGTTCCCTTGAGGAAATAAATTATTTCAAAATGGTGGTCATTTACAAGTGAAACGTGGAGAGAGAGGCGTGCAAGCCCCCTACTCTCGCGTCCGCTTTCGCGTGCCTCTCGCGCGTGACTTCTCACGATATCTCCCAGTTGGAGAGCTTGCTCGCAATGTAATCTTTCTGCTTTCCCACAGTCGGTTTTACAGTTGGTGTTAGTAAGATTAAAGCGCTTACCATTTGTATGGAAAACCTGGTAATTCAGGAGAGAATCCAAATGGAACGTTTCATCCCTTTGAAATGTTTTCGGAAATAAGGGACTGAATTACCTTTTTCTCGCTTTTACCGGAACGACCGACATTTTCTGTACGCCTTATTTGGATTAACACTGGCACTAGCCCTCTGCTATCGAGGGTCACCTCACTACCGCTCAGATTCCTTTGTCAAATTTTGAGCATGGCGAAGGATGAACCAGGGAACATCTCAGTACGTGCTGAATGAGCCCCCTACAAAAGAAGACCCCCGGGAGAGCGTGACTAGTCCCGATTGTGCTCGGCAACGTTTGAGCAACTTTTGGCGTTTGGAGCAACTTTTTGTAGTTTTAGCAACCTCGAGTAAGTTTTTCCTTTCCAAGCAATTTCCCCTTTAGCAAAATATAGGTTTAGAGCACATATCAAACACGAAAAAGAAAACGAATTCTTAGAAAATTCAATTTAAGCGAGTTTCTTGAATGCTTTATGAACCTTTTGAACACATAACCTTTCACTGACAGCGTTTTGCAGGTCTTAAAAGGCATTTTATATGTGCCTAGAAGGCCTGATAAGCAGTCAGCACATAAATAGTAAAGGTAAGCTCGATGCGCATTTTGCTAATTTACAGAGTAAAAATGATATATTCCCATTTTACGTCTTATAAATTTGTTTGCCGATACATACACGTGTACTTGAAAGTTGCTCGCTCCGGGTTAAGCTTAATCCCCCATTCCTGCTTTCGGTGCGAAAAAAATACCAGTACCACTGGTCGAAAAATTTTCACCGAAATTTTCTTAGAAATGACATCATCTTAACCGCCCGAATCCTCCCTCCTCCGAAGAGGCTCCCGCTGGGTACCCCAGTGCCAAAAATAGCAAAACTCGAAAAATAGCAATCGTACGGGGGACGATCATAAAAAAGACGGAAAATGCGTGAACCTCGAGGCCTCGGTTCCTCTCTTTTCCCTTCCCATCGTCCCACTCGCGCTTTCTTTTTCCCTCCTTCCAGCCTCCCTACGATACAAAGGAGAGAGGCCTGAATCGTCGTAAAATGTTTTGAGACCGGCCAGCCGAGGCAGGAGATCCCGAGTTCGATGGCCATATCCCGCGGTCTTTAATACGACAGCACGTACTGAATCCTACTTGGCCACTCCTTTGTTGTCATTAATATAGATAAAACAATAGCCCATAACCCTTACTGGGCTCTTAGGTAAAATATTATTTTTACATTACGCTGGGCCAGTCCCAGAGAGTAAAGACTTTTTAAAATCCAGGTTAAATATAGCCTTCGTAGCATGCATGCGCGTGGTGGTAATAAGCATAATATATAGATTTAGCCACAGCTAAAAGCGAAGCTCCCATTAATAAATTTATAACTTAAATCAAACAATAATTTTGTATTCCTCAAATCAGTTAACTTAAAGGGACAGTGTCCCGATTATGCGCACGCGCGAGCGTCATCTGTTTTTTCTTCAAAGTACAATAGAACTGTCAAATTGACTCGACAAGATTTCCTACCGGACCGCACCGCCGACAGAGATTTGTTGTTTATATTCTCAAGTAATATTTTACACTTTCGAAGAAGTCTTTCGTCTTATATAAAAATTTGGCTCGCGGTTCGAAGACTTATCGCGATTTTATCGCTAGCTGGGCCGCCTCGCGACCCGAAAATCTCGTTCCGCTCGCTTTAAAAACATATTTTCTAATTTGAAACTCGTGTCAGAGGTCAATCGCTCCAAGTCCAGTAATATCTGCCTGATTTGCTCGCGTTCTAGCCTCAAACGTTTGAAAGACATACATGTGACCTTTGAGGGAAAAGCCAAGTTATTTTGGAGTGAAAAAAATCTTGTATCGAGTTAATATAGCCTTATTTGTACACCAAAAAAATAGTCTTCGGTCACATTTAAGAGCAATAATGGCTCTTGATCACAGTAGATAAGGCGTGGAAAACAAATTCTTGGAAAACAAATCAGGCCGAATTGTTTGCGTTCGACAAGCGTACAAATTCTTGCCAATAAATCTGGGTGCGTGCAAACCATTCTTTTATTTTTTTTTAAACACCACATCTGAGGAGAAAGAGTACTATGAGGCGCTGTTTTTATCATGCAGACCTCGTACAAAATGCAGTATTTCACAATTTTTCAAGAAAAATTGCATTCATTCAATGCTCAGGACCATCGAAGCACGCGTGGACTTTTAATTAGCGAAAACGTTCAAAAAATGTCCAAAATCACCTATACGGCCAGCCGGTTCTAACTTTTGACAAGCGCCAAATTTGCCAAGAAATTTTAAAAGAGTCACGCTTCAACGTGATAAAGAATTTATTGAGTCTATTTTTTATTAACGGTTTTATAACCATGTGTAATCTTAAAAAGCGTTTGATACGCTTGGCATTTTGAGTAATCCTACAAGCGATGTTTATGAACACCTGAAAACAAACGGCAAAGCGATGAAAATTACACTTTTGAGACTACCGACAATCAATAAAGAAATATAATTCGGTAGAACATTTACAGAGACAACAATTTTCATTCACGAAAACAAATGAGTATTTAGGTGTCTCTAAGAATCCTCAAGTCTTCACTAGTAAGCTTAAAGATTAAGGTTATGTTTTAAGCCGCCGGTTTCCCGGTGTTTCCTTTTTTCAAAGATGAACTCACGACAAGAAAATCGCTCAAAGCTTTCTTTCTACAGCCAAGTACAGCCAAAATTATAACTAAATATTCTTCGGAAATTTTTTCGTTCTATTTACGGTGAATTAATATCGACTAAAGGCTTTTTAAAGTTCTGTAAGCTTAAGCTTATATCAAACCTCATACTAGGTCAGATCAGTGTCTCAGTCAAATCTTAATACAAACGTGCATAAACTAGCTTCATAAACTGTGCCACTGGACTTCATGAAATTAGATATAAATACAATAATTACTCAGGCTTACCATATTTTGAGATGCAGCTCCTGAAAGCTAGCAAGAAAGGCAAGGATCGCTTGAGCCTTTATAATTCTCGTACGCATCCAGCAAGGTGAAAAACAAAAACGATGCCAACCGAAATCGGATTATCGGCTTTGACAAGCGACGCATTCTCAACCAAAAACCCAATAAGCAAACCAGCCATGAATAAGAGAACACTCTTGATAGCAGCTGTATTTCATTTTTTACATCCAGTGGAAAAAGACAGTTAAAAACATCACAAGTTGACTCAAAACTCTGTCAGCTTCAGCTGTCAAAGTAAACAACTTTCAAGATGCTGCATAAATTTTACGCATGAACTCACCTGTCAAATTTTAACCAATCAGAGCATAAAAATTGGACGTGGAGCGTGACCAACACATGACCATGGTTAGAAAAGGTCTTCCCCGCCTGTATTTTAAAAAAACTGGCTGAATTTTTGCGTCTGCGGTCAGTTTGAAATCAAAATCGTTATAGTGCTGGGCGATACTGACATAAACACAACATATTTGATGTGAATTAAAAATTAAAAAAAGTAAGCGTGAGCCTGCGATCATTTCAAAACGAGTAAATTTTCAGCGGATAACTTCAAAAAAATACTCGACCTTGATGGGTCGACACCTGAGCCCGCGATACGGTCAGGTGATACTGGTCAGCGGATACCCTGTTTTGACAGCTGTCAATTGATGACGACGTTGATGCCCATTGATGTGCAATCAGCTTTCTCCTGGGCTCCCAAAGTAGCTAGAAAGTGTGAGAGTAAACATTGGTATGCCTGTGGTGCGGACGGACGGTCGGGCGGGCGGTCGGTGTACGGTCACGTGATTACCAAATTTTCTCGGATGGGTAGTTTACCACATTTTGTTACCCATGGTGCTCCGCTGCGCGCTTCGCGCGCGAGAGCTCCGCTATAAGAAAAAAAAACAGGGCGCGTGTCTCCACCGCGCGCCTCGTTTTTTTTTTTTTTTTTTGCGCCCGTACAACGCCTGCAACTCAGGATAGTTTGACCTCACCTCTGTCTCTGCCACGCCCACCCCACCCCTACTCCCCTCCCACCCCTCCTCTGTTTGCATTTATCTGACGCAAGGCGCGGCTCCCCAGTCTGTTTTTGCAGCTTCTATGTTGCACGAGGTGTGAAGTGTTTGCACCGGTCAAAAGGTAAGTTTCTTTCTACACACTTTTATTATTTCACCAGAAATACTTATCTTGCAACACAATTCATGTGATATTATGGAACTAACTTGATCAAATTGCCTTCGGAGCATAATTTGTGTCCAGTGTTAATAAAGAACAAAACCGAAAGTTCGAAACCAAGCGAACGAGTAATCAATTGCATCCAGTCCAATTTTAATCGTTAGATGGATTTTGATAAGGATCGACAATCAAACACAATTGAACTTATACGTGTTATGAGTTCGATTACCGTTGTCGGAAAGAGACTTGATTTCGACTCTCACTGCTTTGGCTATTGCACTTAATATCCGTACCACACAGTGGAGGACTTGCCCTTTCTTCTTACCCCTAAAGATTAGATAAATTTGCATAAATCCCTGAAGACTTCCATAAAATATGGGTGTACCCCTGAAGAATGCAGGTCGTACCCCCGAAGAATATAGGTCCTACCCCTGAAGAATATGGGTCTACCCCTGAACATTATTGGTCTACAACTGAAGAATTTTGTGAAAATTTGGCCTGCGAAAACATCCGTTTCTCCTCGCTCTAAGCCGCTAGGGACGTTTCGCGAGGAGGAACGTCTGCGACTCAGCAACAGAAATTCCATACTGATGACGTAAATCAATGTTTACATAGTGAATCCGGTAGTCGTGGGGTTCCAAACATAAATTTGTGCAATTTTCCGTGTCTTCTGGTCGATTTTGGTGAAGTGTTGTGTTCATCTGCCAACAAACTCCAGCAAAACTCAAATGCTTCCTCTAGAGAAGGCTACATTCCAGAAATATTGACTGTTTTGTTAGAGATTCTTCACGTTTACATTTGACCTTTGTGGCCTTTTATCTTTTGTCTGTCATTCGTAAACAATAGCTAGAACAATGTAACTACTCCATCGACCAATCAGCGCTTCTGACCAGATTCCAGACAGATTTTACGTCATCAGTATGAAATTTCTGTCGCTGAGTCGCAGACATTCCTCCTCGCAGGCTAGTGAAAATTAACCTTTCATCCTCAAACAATTCAACATTGTTTTACTCTACCATTAAAGAAATCCTCAATTTTTATAACTATCTCCTGAAGAATTCCATTGGTGCGTAACTTGGAGGGAGGCGGGGGTACAGTTATCAAATGCAACAGCCCCAGTTAAAAGCTGAGCCAAGGCACTATCAAAGTACATGTATCTCACTAGGGCAGACTGGGGCAGCTATTTTGTAAGCAAGGGTTCCAACAGATTTCATAATTCCTTTATTATTGCATCAGATGTGACATGTAGAATTTTTAACTAGTCTAGTGCCAAGACTGCTCATTTGGAACTTCAGCTTTCTGGTAACCTGCCCCTTCCCATTTGAACATTTATTTGTAAGTTTGAGTTATTCTATCCTGCTAGTCTTGGACAAAAGTATTTGGGAGGGTTGTACAACTTAATAGTAGTTTCTTTCTGGCATAGTTTGCAGCATTTTTTTTTAACAAAGTCATTCGCATTGCTGACATTATTTTTTGTAGTTGGCTTGTTTACTTTCTTTAAAGGGTGTAAACAAGCCAACTACGTGAATGTCAGTAGTGCAAATGACTCCACTCATGCTAAAGGTTGGAAAAATATGATTTGTTGAGGAAGAACTGTACAGCCCCCCGAAATGATCCCCAAATCAACCCCGAAATAACACTGACCCTGAAATGATCCCCATTTCTCTTTGAGGACCTTAGCAATAATTACTAAGGTAATTATAGAGGAAACTGCATGGATGTTAAATTCTGAAAATGGTGTTTATAAAACTGCATGGATGTTGAATTTAAAAAATGGTGTTTTAACACTTTTTAAAACTTTAAAATGGTATTGAAAATACAAAAGTAGACTTAAAAGAGATCAGATGACGAAAGTGCTAAAAAAATCACAAACTGTTGTGAAATGTTAAATGCGATTTAAGAACATTGCAACAGACTTCTACTAATTTTGTAGTAGAATACCATTCCACTCCAAGAATTAACTGGGGATCATTTACGGGGTTGATGTGAAAACAATGGGCATCATTTCAGGCGGGGTCGGTATCATTTCAGGGTTGGGGGTCATTTCAGGGGCTGTACTAAACTAAACATATTTTTTGATATACCTGTATGATTCAAGCTGTATGAATATTTTACCCTCTATGTTTAGATTTTGGTGCTAATTTTCTATGCTGTGAAAATAGCCTGTCTCTCCTGGCTCCCTGTCACCAGGGATATTTCGCTGGGAGAGACGTATGTACCTCAGCAACAGAAATTCCATACTGATGACGTAAAACGGTTACCTGTCTGGAATCTTGTCAGGAGCTCTGATTGGTCACTGTAGTAGTAAATATATTGTTTTAGCAATTGTTTACAACTGACAGACAAAAGACAAAAGGTCACAAAGGTTTAAAGAAAATGTGATGAATCCATAACAAAACAGTCAAGATTCCTGGAATATATTCTTTTAGAATATTATGCTTTTGAGTTTTGTAAAAGCGCGTTTGCAGAAGAACTCAAAACTTTCTTAAAATCGACCAGGAGAAACTTGGAATCGAAATCTGAAAATCAAACAAATTTACTTTTTGAACTGTTTGACTACTGAGTTGATTATGTAACCATTGATATACGTCACAAGTAATGTCTTCGCCTCAGCCACAGAAATTCCATACTTGTGACAAGTATGGAATTTCTGTGGCTGAGGCGAAGACATTTCTCCTGGCGAAACGCACCTAGCGGCGAAGAGCAAACAGAGATAGCTGTTTTTGCAGGCTACCAATTTTTTGTTATTCTTTGATGTCATTCTTTCAAGTCTAATAAATATCTAATGACTATGTTTTTTCTTTCAGATCAACTTATGAACCTCTCATTTGCAGGCTGCGGTTTTCTTGGAGTTTATCACCTTGGAGTAGCAACTTGTCTTTCATCTCATGCACCTCAATTTCTCAAGAACATAACAGCTTTTGCAGGAGCCTCAGCAGGGTCACTTGTTGCTGCAGTGCTAGCAACATCAGCCCCCTTAAACAAGTGCTCTGATTTTGTGATTGAACTCACTGATGAGGCCCGAAAACACCCACTTGGTCCATTTAACCCAGGATTTGACCTGGTGGGAAACATCAGAAAAGGACTTGAACTTCATCTACCAACAAATTCTCACAAGGTTGCCTCAGGAAGGCTTTTTATTTCAGTAACAAGTTTAAAAGAAAGGAAAAATGTTATCATATCGGAATTTGAGTCAAAGGAAGACTTGATCCAAGTAAGAGGCGATTTTTTTTCCAGCTTTTAAATTAAGATGTAGTGTGTTTTAGACTGCTCTTTGTGTAATGTATTGGTTTAATTATCCTTAATTTTTGAATGTTTGTTTCCCTTTGTTTCCGTGTATGATAGTAACTGAACCATTCATTCACATGGTGGCATCACAGTACACCACCAGACTCTTCCATCAGTATCTAGATTTTTGTGTACATTATTCAGGGGTGGACAGAGGATTTTGTGATAGAGGGGGCCTAGAGATATAGTACACAGTGGCAGTATGGGTGTGATAGTGCCCAACAGGGCTTCGAATGGCGCACTTTTCTAGGGAGTTTCGGGCACAAAAAATTGCTCCTCTGGGAAAAATTTTTGAGATTGAAGTTCTCTGAGATGCAATCTAGTGCATTTTGGATGCTTAAATTTAGCAATATTGAACATGTAAATGCTGAAATATTTAATAAGCCACAGCTGTGGTTGTGATCAAAGAAGTAATTAACACTTTATGATGCTAGCAAGGGCTGGAGCAATTGTGGTGAGAGGGCAACCTCCCAGCAAAGACAACTTTCAATAAATTTTCTTATTAACAAAGTTTATTAAAGAAAATATATTTAAGTAACAAAGCTTGAAGTACCATCCAACACATGCTTACAGAAGAAAAAAATTCCTGGACAAAAGGGGGGGCCAGGGCCCCCTTGGCCCACCCCTAAATGTGCCCTTGTTATTTTTAAATAACACTCTCCTCGATCTCCATAATTCTTTATATGATACGAAAGCCGAATTCAATCATTGTTTTATTATTCATTCAAAATAATTCCTAGTTTAAAAACATAGCTAAAACATGCTTACCTCCATCGATGTTAAGTTCATCTTCGATAGTGCACATTTAGGGTTGTTCAGCACTGCAAATATTCTCCAAATAGCAGATGTCGCCCTTCAAGTTGTCTTCTTGCTGTTCTTGCCATGTTTTTAGCTATTTTTTCGCCTAGTTTTTACTCTTGAAATGAGTGAAATGTCCGCCATTTTTGTTTTCACAACCAAAACAACTCAACCTCGTCCCCAGGTCTTCTCGGTTAACAGTGCATTATCCTACAAGGAAGCTGCACTTTTGATGTCATTGGTTGATTTATTGCAAAATTCTTCCAAATTTGGTCATCAGTAGCTGGTTATGGTGAATTATGTGTGTACTTTTAGCCAGTCAGAATCGGGAAAATATTTTGAATGAATAATAATATTAATTATTAAGTCTGCTGAACCGTATGGTGAATATGTAGTCTAGAGATCTGTTTCTTTTTTTTTTGGAAGTAAAAGACTTTCTTAACATTCTGGACATCCCATGTTACTGTCAAAGTAAGAAAACCATTATTACCTAAACATGTCCAGTCATGTTTTCACTTACTGCTATTGTTTTGGAAGTGTGATTGGCTTTTGTTTGAAGGGACACAATAACGTTTGTTCATTTTTTTTTGGGGGGGGGGAGTGGGAAAAGTAGACTGCAAAGCAGTCCGTTTTTTTCTCAAAATTGGTTTAGTGAAGTGTAAGAGTAACAGTCTCACGCAAGCGAAGTGCGCGAGCATCACACGCCCATTGGGTGGCACAGAAATGTAAAAAATGTGTGCTGCACCTGTACACAGTCTCACTCCAGACCTTTTTGTTTGACTGTTCCCACGCACTTGAATACACAAAAGTACGGACTGTTTTGCAGTCTAGGGGGAAAGGGGAGGGGAAAGGACTAGTAGAGGGCTGTTTTTTGAATGCTCCAAGTTTATTTATGTTAGTTTCCTTACAGTGTAAATACAGTGATGACAAATTACGCAGTAGAGGCATACAGTTTGTCTGGAATCATTATCTTTTTCTGAAGTAATTAGGACAATACTTGTTGAAATGATACATATGATTTTTTCTTAAAGGGTTTACATAATTATGCTGTATTTTCTCGACTAATGGCCAGACAAAAAGGGGGCAATTATTCGAGGGAGACGATTATTTCAAAAATTGCTTACTGGAAGATGGCTCTAAATATTTTTTTTATTATTATCCCATTAAACCAAAATTGATCACATCAAATACTCTGAACATGGGCTTTTTAAGTGTTGCAAATTTGGTTCCTTGATTAAATTGAAATAATGTCAGTATCCTTGGCATCCTAGCTTTATTTGTCACTAATCAGTTTTGCTGGATCAGACTCCACTTCAACTTGACAGGAAGGGTGTAAAAGAAAGAAAGGATGACGAGAGGGGTGGGGGGGGGGCGATTATTCGAGGAGGCGATTATACTTCCTTCTGCGGGGGTGATTATTTGAGGTCCGAGGTAATTAATCGAGGGATGGCTATTATTGGAGGAGATAGGGTATTCATGGTTCAAAATAAGAGTTTGATCACTGAAACCAATGCCCACGCACATACTAGGGTAAGTGGTTTATACGTTTCAAATATAAATATGATCTTAAATTTATCTTCGGTTTTCAAGGTTTTACTGGCAAGCTGCTACATTCCTTTCTATGCTGGGCTGAAGTTTCCACAATTTAAAGGGCAGGTATGTGGTTGATACTTAATCTTCAATGCGTATCGTTATTGTACATAATTACCATGTCTACGCCAAAATGATATCTAATTTTGTGCTTTAAAGTTTTCTTTGCCGCAAAAATTTTCAAGCGGATTGACAACTGGATTGTCATTATTTATTTCTACTTATTATTTAATTGTACATGTAATATGATTCAAGTTGCGGTTGTTAGTCAGCCCGCAAAGGACTTGACCATCACTTAAGTTCTCAGTAGCTCAGTGGTTAGAGCATCTGACTGGTGTCTGGAAGACTGGGGGTCCAATTCCCTTCTGGAACTCAAAAATTGTTTCTAAGTTCTTTTCACCACACTTATTATTCTAGTTTATTATACTGTTATGGATTGAATTATGCATTTGTTTTTCAATTCATATTCTTTGGCTATTTTTTTTTTTTTTTTAAATAAAATTATACAAGAGAGTAAACATGAATGATGAGTAAGAGGCAGCACAAGGTTGTTCTCCGGAATTTGGAAATGTTGTTTTGGAGGAGAGGAGAAAACTATTGATCGCCCCCAGAACTCAACCCTCATATGGTATCACATTCGGGATTTGAAGCTGAGCCATACCGTTGGTTTGGCAAGCCCGCAAGGATGCGCCACCCTAGCGTACCTTTGTAACAAGGGTGAGCAAGGGTGGAGTATGTATGATAAAACAATAATGGTAATACTTACATGTACCTCAAACTCTATTGTTTCCTCCAATTCTTTGTTTATTACTAATTTATATTGTTTTCGGAAAATTGGTGATCAGAAGCAGAAGCGGTAATAAATAACCAATCACAACGTTTATTCTCAGTTGTTGCGATTGGTTGGTTTAGTCCTTGCTTTTCTGATAACAGGAAGCTTAAGCAACGACAACGATGACGGCATTGAAAACGAGGGAAGAAAAATGAATTTGCGTCCATTCAAACTTATCTCGTGTATTTGTACCCGCCCAAATTGTCAAATGTAGGCCTGCGATTTCTCCTGGAGTTGAATTCTTAAGAACATTATCCAGGTTCAAAAAGAGGAAGGAAAATTGTCGTCGTACGTTCACTTTCTCCATAAAACGTCGCATTACGAGGTTTCACATCGTTGTGCAGTGAATGTCAAAGAAATTTACTGAAAAGCGTGATACACATGCAGAGCTGTTGTTTTGTTCCACGGTTTTTTCCACATTTGACTGGGACCAGCAAGCAAAAATGCGTTAACCCGCATAAAAAGGGCGCCTTAAAATTTGTAAAGATGCGAAGTCTGATCATGATTTGTTGAAAACTGACGAAGAAATACAGCTGTAGCTGCGCAAAGTCGCCGAATTTTACAGGCGCTTGTAAGGTGGGAGGCACGCTCGTGCCCGCCAACCATACAAACTTCTATTAAATTTCGCGACTATGTGAAGCAGTATCTTCGCTTACTTTGAACGTATCACCTTTAAATTTGTTAATTTTGCCTATTTTAAGGCTTTTTTTTTTTCAGCAGTCTCAATGGACATTCGCTAACTGGTCTTTATTAAACTTGAAAAGAAAAAATCGGGGGTCTAGTTGTTGTTGCCGCTGTTTTCGTCGTCGTGGTCGTCGTGGTTGGTTAAGCTCCAAAGTGACTCCAACTCCGATTCTGCCGCTAATTAAAAACCAGTATTAGGTTTTAGTACATCTCTTTGATTCTGTTGACAGAAATGGGTTGATGGCGGATTGAGTGATAATTTACCACGACTCCAGTTTGGCCGAACTATTCGTATTTCTCCATTCAGCGGTAAAGACAACGATATCTGCCCTCAGGACGAGTCAAAGGGTTTTACTGATATCACTTTCCATAATATGAATATTTATGTGAACAGAGAAAATCTCCAAAGAGAACTGCAAATATTTGTCCCCCCTCGAAAGGAAGGCATAGAGAGTATAGTGCAATTAGGCTATGACGATACACTTCGATTTTTACAAGAAGAGAATTTATGTAATTACCCCGTTATCACCCGATCCTCTGCTTTGCCCATAGAAAGTCGTCGAGATTAGTGGTGCGTTTGATTTGCAAGGAAAAACTGGAAACAATGGTCAGAAAATGAGGTGGCTCACGCTCTTTTGTTTGGTCAGGTTCTTAAAGTTTGGGCTGCCATTTAAGGTGATACAGTTTTCCTACTTTTTTCTGGTCTCTTCGGCTTTCATTGGTCAAATTTTGTAACTGGTCCATTCCTTCCAACGACTCCCCAACCCAAACTCTCCCCAACGTTCAGATAAATAGGTGAATGTTTATGCATGAAACTTTTAAACTAAATCTTTTTGTAATGGTAAGCACCTAGGTATTTGTGTATGTTGAAATAAAAGATGCACCTCTCAGCGCGGTAATCAGTTATATAAGCATGCGGATATTCTAGTTTTGAGGACCCTTGAGAAGCACGAGTTGTAAGCTGGCGCGTCTCGCACTTCTTGAGTGTTCTTAATAAATATGATATAAAAATGTACTGGTCATAGTAAAAGGTAAAAATGTTTCACCAGCTGCAGTGGTTATTAAATACTGACTCGATGAACGTGTATAGTACAGGTATTGCGTCCAGTGTTTCCTTAGAGAGTAATGGGGACATAACGAGACTGTTTTGAGGTTTGGGGGACCCAGCTTCCCGCGCATCCTCGCTATACCCATTAAGGACCCTAAGGTCCGATTACGACGACGGCAAGGATCGCAGAACGTCAAAAGAGCAATAGGTTTGATAGCTAAACAACAACTTTGCACTTGCAGCACATTTTGTACATTTCTTAGCCGTCTCTGCACGACTAGAATATGACGTGAAATGTCTAAATTTTCTTTCTCTTTCTGAATTTGGATATGGGGTTTTGGTTCTTAGGAATTCAACTCCAGGACAGTTTGCCTACTTTTGGCAATGTAGGTGAGTTGAAATTATCGCGATGAAGATTGAATAATAATAATAATAATAATAATAATAATAATAGGTGATGATGATAATGATGATGATGATGATATTAGCAAATGAATCAGGTAGAATCAAAATCGAAATGGCCGATAACGCTTTACTTAAAAACGTATAAGAAATAAAGTAAAGCAATACAAAATCACAGAAAAAAATCTGGCTAAAAATTTAAAAAAGGAAAGAATTCATGAATGTAAAGCTTGCTTAAAAGGTGCCTTTAAAAAATTATTTAAAAGCGTCTATCCATTTTGCTTGTCTTATGTGATCCATTAGAAAGTTCCACAGCATGAGGATCATCGTGCATAGCTCTCCAATCCATATTGCGGGATATATAATTCTTGACTTCAGTCTTTGACCCTTTGATGGGTCGTAAACTATTAGGGCGTCTAGTAAATAAGGAGGTGTCAATTTACTTAACTGTTTGAATGTTTCTGCCTGTTTGAAAACTCAAATTGGTTTGAACTGTCGGTGCCATTTTTTCTTCAACATGATTGTACCCGCGCGCAAAGCATTATCAAAGAAAAAGGAGCTCGCTGTTTTAAGAAAAACTCAAGGAAAGTGGCGGACTTTATAACTTATTCTTTTATACTTCCTTGCCTATTTTTCCGCGTAATAGTAAAAAAATCACACTAAAGGAAGCAAAAACTGCCAAAGACGTTTGACCACTATGGATTCCTAACCGCTCTCAGCTAAAAATAGTTTTCCTGTACTATTTTTGGTAACTTTGAGCAAGACTAGCCACCTCTCAGAGATTTTCTTTGACAAAAACGTATCACTTTCAAAATATCAAGAAGCACACAATCGTGGTGACACTGGTCTCCTCCCATGAGGCTGTGAATTATTGATTCCAATAAAAACATTTTTTCTCAACTGTGATAAGGAAAGTAACTTTTCTTTCAAACCCTAGTTTACCGGGAAAGAGTCCGATCTTGCTCTTTCCGGTATTGTTCTGAAAAAGGGCAGATCTATTCTTACCGCTGAATGGAGTTTTTTTAGGTCTAGAAAATCAAACCCTTTCGCCTTTCAAGTCCGAGGCGAGTGTGAATTTGAAAAACGGTTTTTGGGTTGTTTGTATTTTCAAAGGCTTTTGTGCTGTCTGAAAAAGTTACAGCAATTTCAAGAAGCCGATACTGGACAAAATTTGTTCCCCCTTGTCTGCCCGAAAGCTCATCCAATTGGGCCAGGCTTTTACTCAGGTCAATAGGAACGGGAAATTTCGTAGAAATAGGTTAAATTATGGGTAAACCAAGAAGACAGACCTATTAAAAAAGAACAAGATTAGAAAATGGCCATGTCATCAGCGTGTAATTTACAGGGTTCGTACAGGTCATGGAAAACCTGGAAAGTCATGGAATTTAAGAATTTCATTTTCCAGGCCTCGAAAGTCATGGAACTTAATTGTCGGTCCTTGAAAGTCATGGAAAATGAAAGTTCTGTTTGGTAGTTTAGTTACTGCAGATGACAAAGCAAGGACAATGTAGGATAGAGAGGAGTAATTAAACAGCGCAAACGGCACTCATTTTTGGTGGACACCCGAATTTGTGTCTGATGAACTTTTTAATGTCCAAAAATACCCCAAAACGAGGAACATGTTGAAAATTATTGAAAGTGACAACTAAACCTAAGGTCTTGTAAAGGTCATGGAAAAAGTCATGGAATTTGAACGGCTCAAAAGAGTACGAACCCTTAATTTACCTCTGTAAACATAACTGAGGCTTTGTTCACACAATACCGGGTAGAATTTGCGCCGGCACGAAAACCATACCAGATAGGGCTCTTGTTCACACGTAAGGTCTGTGATTTCGGCGCGATTTCTGTAACAGAGCGAAGCGGCGACGCGCTGATCTCGAAAGTGGAGCATCACATATCGGATAGCTTCTGTGCCACACCAGCGCCACACTTTGGTTTAGTGTGAACAGGTATTCGGAATGTAGCGGGAGTGAATAAATAGCAGAGAGGACTGGAATACTAAGACGGAAGTAAATATTTTAGGAGTGAAGACTGGGATTTAGTACACCAAACCTTCTTGGCCAACCGCTGCGGCACGATGTTCGATGTGTGTGGACGACTTGTTCTAGCTCTATGCCGTTGCTGTTCATGCTATACCAGATGTGTCTGGTATCAGGTATAGCGTGAACATAGCCTGATATTGTTGTTTGCTATAAATAAGGTAAAAATAAAAACACTGGCGCCAGAACGTCTTTACCCAAATGTTACTCCCAAAAAAATAGCCTGAGAAAACAGCGGACATTTCGCGACGTCTCTGGTGGTTTCCCGCCCCAGGGGGGGTACTCGGGATTTCAAGTGACGGGAATGATCGAATGGAGCCAAAAGTCAAGACCCAAAAAAATCCTAGGGCTTTCAGCAAAACCCAAAAAAATCCCTGGACCAAAAATTAACCCCCAAAAAATCCCATGCCGATTTTGTGGCCCTTAAGCAAAAGGAAATTCCAGTAACGGTAAAGCCAATTGACTGAATTGAAGCGGTTAAAGTCTTGTACACGACCGGGCACGTGCGATGTAAAGCGACACCATAGTTAACTATTAAACAACAGCAAAACACGTTTGTTTGTACTTTATTCCCAGAACTACGCAGCCAGGGCACTACCGATTCTTTTTAATACCCCCAAAAAATCCCTACTCAAATCAAGCTACCCAAGCCAAATTTTGCTGCCCAAAAAAATCCCGGAATCGAAATTTCAAACCCAAAAAAATCCTTCGATCATCCCCGTCACCTGAAGTCCCGAGTACCCCCCCCCCCGGGTTTCCCTCGAAATGACGTCTGAGAAACGAGCACAGAAATTCCATACTGATGACGTGCCACTACCCGGATCTGGGTAGTGCTTCTTATTGGTTGGAGATCTGCTTCATCCAATCCGAAGCACTACTCAGATCTGGGTAGTGACAGGTCATCAGTATGGAATTTTTCCGCTCGTTCTCAGACGTCATTTCGCACGTCAACCACCTGTGGGGGGGGTCCCGAAGTGTCAGCTGTTATCTCAGGCTACAGAAAACGTCGCCACAAAAATTCTAACTCCAGGGCAGAAAAGAACCTCACACCCCCTTCTTACTTTCATGATACTTGATTACGCCCACTCACCTGAGGGACACGCCATTATAAGAATTTTCAGTCATGATCTTTCGTCTAATTTATTACGCATTTAATATGCTCATGCATCCTACGCATTTACTATACTTATCTTAATAGACCAAAACGTCAGTCACACATGCTTAACCCCTAAGGGGACAACATAAATCGCTTCTTAAATTTATACACGTATATATAGAAGTCACAATCCATAGTTCATTATGATTAGATTCTACCATAATTTTGACTGAGAAACCATCATTAAAACAGTAATCCCTTTCAAAAGGACTTTGAAGTCAACGAGTCGCTTTCCGTGGAATAGGATGTTCTGTGCGCTCGAATTTTCTGAGCTTTATCCTTGTTCTTTCACCTTCTTTTCCACAGACCTGGTTTGATGGTGGATTTACTGACAACCTCCCTATTCCCCCATCGGGAATTACCATTAGAGTGTCTCCTTTCAGCGGGAATAATGAAATCTGCCCGCAGGATAATTCCCGATCCTTTTCCGAGATTTGTTGGAGGAATATGCACGTGTACGTTAACAGAGAAAACATGCGAAGAGCGACAAATATTTTGTACCCGCCCAGGAAGCGTCTTCTTCGTAAGATATACGGTAAAGGGTACGACGACGCCTTGGATTATGTCAAGAAAAATCAGTTGTCTTAAGTGTATAGTAAGATTGTTATTGAAAAAGGGTGAAAAACACGATTTGATGCGCACAAGGTTTTCGCCTGATTCCTGTAAAGCATTTTTGCATTTCTTCCGCACCTTACAGTGTTCTGAACAGTTGTCCAAAAAAACAAAATCGCTGAGTATGTAGCGCCATTGGTTCAGATTAGGTTTGCACCAGAACAAAGGAAAAAGAAGCAGAAGTTGACTTAATGTTTCTGTTTCTGTCTACTCCTCCGTCGTTTCGGTCCCAGGTGCTTAGGGAGTAGAAACAGCGACGGCAGCGAAAACGTCATCATCAACTTGAATTCGCGTTTCTTCAAACTTAATCTCGATTTTTCCAACTCGCTTAAAGTGCAAAAATGTAAATGAATTCCCGTGCAGATGATTTCTTAGACACCGGACCTAAGGCGTTGCATAAAGAAATTAATAAACTTCGTGGTCAGTGCAGCACAGTGACGTGAAAAAAAATGGACTTAAAATTGCGATCCTTGCGCAAAGTTGTTGTTTTGCTTGTTAGACCAAGAGCTTTTTGGTTGTTTTCGTTACATTTGCCGTCCTTGTTGGTAAAACTTTCAATTCTAATCAGGTCTTTCTTTGTTTCTTGAATGACACAAACTCTTCAACCGCTGCTTCCACCTCCGCTTTTGCTTTCAATTAGTTGTTAGTGTAAACCTAACTTTAAAACTGGTAGACTAGATTTCAGTAGTTAGGTACACATTAAGAGTGTCCTCATTACGATTCTTATACTACTACATGCGAATTTCTGCAATTTGATTGGCTT